TCTTATCGAGTTCATCCAAGTCGATAGCGTACCTGTGGTGAGATTCTTGGCGTACAACGGCATGGGAATTAATGATTTTTAAAACCGTCAATGTTGGTAGATTGGTATTTAGCACTTCGGCGATCTTTGATCACCGGACAACTTTCTACCACAACAGCCACCACTTAACATCGCAACGTCTACAAGGCAATCACTACTTGTTTTAATCGATAACAATATTGATTTAAAGTAAAAAGTATAGTAAAGTATCAGCCTATACATATCCCACTGCTCGGCAAAGGCCTCCTCTATACAGAGGGTATCAGGGCATAGTCCACCACGCGGCCCCACCGCGGATTGGCGGACTTCACATATCTTCGAAATATTTTTTTTTTGTTATTATTTCGAAAATATGCAGGTTTCGTGAGGAACACGATGTTTTCCTTCAACGCTGAGCACGTGCTAATTCAGAACTTAAAATTGACGATTTCATTGATGCTGGCACCGGGTATCGAACTCAATTTGCTCGAATATATTAAATTAAAGGCGAGCGCCCGGACACTGAGCTATCACTCCTTTTTTTATTTATTTTAACTAATTCAATGGGGTTACCGAATGTGTTGGTGCGAAATTGCGGGTTCGATTCCCTCAAGTGAGACACATTTGCGTGACCCACAGTTAATTGTTCCGGATCTGGCCGTTTGTTCCCAAGGTGAGTTGACGTCAGGAGGGGGGCTGATTGTCATGTTCTGACAATACCATCTACTTGAGATAAGAGCAGAAATTTTTTCGAAACATTGCCCTTACTTTAGGATGACATAATCCTGTGTTGCAAGGACGTTTTACGTACATCAAATTTAACGTGGACAAACACTCACTAAACTATCTGTGGGTCACACAAATAGTTGTCCCGTGGGGGATGCCTGACGCCGAAGCTAATACGTTGGCGACTTCGTCACGGTAGATGGAAAGCAATGTCAGTTTGCTTGAAGTTTTTCATCCGCATACTCGCCTAATTTGATGAGCTGGTCCTGGTAAGTCTAGCACGTATCCGGAAGAGCCTCATAGTATACTGTATACTGGCGTGATGTGGAAGTGGTAAACAATGCGATACCAATAGTAATAGGACGGAACTCGCGCCATCTTGTGAAGTCAAAGCTGTCATTACAAACCAGCTAGGTAGGGTGAGCAAAACAGACATCTGTGAAATAATATTTTTTAATCTTGTAAATAAAATATTAATTTAATATATGAGTACAAACAAATGTTGTAAACAATAAAGTATATTTTTTTTATTGTCTGCACACCATGCGTTTCAGTGAATTTATCTTATTCGAGTGGTGAATAGATAATGCTGTCAATACCACTACTAATAACACAGGCAGGTGAGTAATCAAGACCACTTTTTCTGAAACCACACGTTGAAAGGTGACGTTTATTCGAGTAAATATTGTTTCGTTTGATAAGAATTGAGAACAGTTATCTTTTGACGTTGTTTAACTTCTCTATCAGCGAATGATGATGTAGCACAAAAATATTAAAATTTTGATCCTCATCAAAAGATAGAAGAGGAATTTGAAGATCTTGCTTACATTAATTCGTGTATATATTATATTTGTATACCTCTTCAGTGTATTAATTTTCGTGGCGATGTACTCATTAATAATAAGATGCACGAAAATAAGTAATCCAGTTAATTGTTTGAAAGTCTGATTTTCATTAATTTTAAATCTAATAAAATGCACTTATAAGTCTCTCACCGTGGTTTGGCCTTTTGGGTATGGAGTTGATAATATTCAAAATATATCCTGTCTCCATTTGGATAAAAGGGTTAAGCGCTCGAATGTCACGAAAGCCCAAACGAACGCCAAATAAAGCGTAGCAAGTGCATATGGAATGGTTATTAGCTTTGAATTCGAGTCAAAAGAAATGTATTGGATTCCTCAACTTGAAAGGAAGAATTGAAAGCAGAAGCGACTGGCACCAAATCGAAGTGAATTGGACTGCAAACCTAAGAAACAATCGTGAATCTCTGCTTAATCTATAGACCCTACTTCTTCTTCTTTCTCCTTATGAGAGACAATCACTAGGTGGGGTTGCTACAGTATGTCTTTCTTTCCCACTTTCCTCTATCAGCAGTCATGTCTGTTATGCACTTTCACACACATATAATTATTCACGATGTCTATCCAAATCTTTCCCGTTCTCCTTTTACCTCTGCTCCCTCCCATGTCTAGGCGATACACGATTTTAAATAATCCAGTATGGTTGTGACTACGCGGATAAACATAAGTCTCTCTTATTCATCCAACGTTCACAATTGACATTCGAACATAGGAACCACTATGCAAATGTCTGATAACGTCAAAAAGGCAAACCCTTGTCGCCTTGAGTCTTTATAATCTACAAATGTAAGGAGGCATGAGTTTACGAGATTAGATATTGATATCGTTTGTGTTAAAGATGTAATAAATAAACCCAGAGTGGTCCTCGCTGATGTAATCTGTATGTCCACAATCTTCGATGTAACTATTCAAAATAGTAGAGGAAATAACTGTGTATAGTGCAAGCTACTGGACAAGTGGCATCAGTAAGACAAGTGATTGTTTTCCTCTTTTGTGATTTTCCTGTCCTATGGGGTGTCCACGTAAGTGCTAAAGCTTTTACATTTTTTGTACGGAACTCTGCCTTTTGACGTCATTGTGTAATTATGAGACACACCCGTGACAATATAACATTGAAACCATGGTATGTACTATTGTAAGATTTAACATTGCTTAACTAAACCTTTTTTATTCTAAAAGAAAGTAAAAAGATCTCAACTGTTGACGACAGTGACGTTTTACGTAGACTTGATTAAATACATGGATGTACCTTGTTACAATACATTTATATACACGATCCAAAACATCAGTCAGAAGTCAAATACCAAGCTGTTACTGCTAATAACATAACATTTTTATTGACTGAAAACAAAACCAACTTTAAAATATACATCTCCTGTTCGATTTTGAGAAGTTCCTTGATCTATTTCCGAAATGCAAGTTTCATTATAAATGACGGAGTTGAGGTAACAAACATAAAAAAAAAAAATACAATCGAATTGAGAATTTCTCCCTTTTTAAGTACCTACATAAGTTCAAGTACATGATTTTTTTTAATTTTTTTTTAATTCTTTTAATTTTTTTTTCTTTCAATCCTTCATCGGGCACGCCGAGAATTGCTACGTTTTTGCGAGCGATCTGAAATTTGGCCCATAGATGCCGTTTGGTTAATAAACGGTAGTCAAGTATACTATACTACTAATACTATCTACATCTAAATATTACAAACAACTAAGCAGAACAACACCTCACCAATTACTTCAGTTCCTTTCGAAAACAAAGACAGATGTTGCTCCACATTACCTCGATCTTTTACGAACATACATACGAGTAAGAGCGTGTTAATTATTGTATTCACGTTAGAAGCTTTAATACAATTCGCCACGCTCGCCCTAAGTAGTGATGAAAGGAATGTGTATGAAAAGATACATATCGGCCGAGAAACGCGGGCAAACTATTCGATGGAGGAAACGCAATTCTATACGTGTAATCGTATAAAGAAGGAAAAAAGCTCTCAGCTCGGTCGAATAACATGAGGGAAGATGTAATAAAGTGTTACGCTCCACATTTATTTGCGAAAGTAACGTGGCGGGAGGCTAAGTCTGATCCGGCTAATCGAAAACGGAGGGTGCTGTAGTTTTTATATTTTAATCTATACATACATTATCGGAGGCGGTTATGGTGAACGGCCAGTTTGCTTGCCATCTTCTCAATTAAAAAAATTATACTTAACTCCGAAAGCATTACGAAATGTATACTACTTTAAGTGATCGTTAGTATGCAACGGTCACCAATAGGATATTTTTGTGAGTATGAAAAACGGGAAGATTAATCGTAATCTCAGGGAGTAGATTTAAGTCTGGACTCTGAATCCAAGAGTTTGCGCCTAGACTCTGCAGTTACATAACCTATAACTAATACCTTACTTGATGCATCAATCATCTCGTTGATTTGACTATAACTATATTCCTAATATAGGTATGTACTTATGTTATTTACGAGATTTCATTTACATAAAAGCAACGAAGAAGAAGGTCAGTTGTATTATATATATATTTTTAATCTATTGTTAATATTCATTAGTATACCTGTTACTGCTATTTAGTACATTATATATATAAAATATTACGGTTTTAAGATATGATCGGGTATCCCTAAAATATCTGATGAATAAGTGCTTTATATGACTCGTGAAAGAGACCTTAGGTACCTAGGTACCTACTTCAAACTTACCGTGGTAGTGATCTACGCGTTTCTTTAAGTATTCTTTTTTTAAGAAAATAAGAAAACTACGAAATTATTGAGTCGCTTTTTTGTTAAAATCGTACACGAGGCTAATATAATAATGTGTGTATATTATATACACACAATGTGTAATAAAGTATATAAAATATTGTGTGTATGTTATAGCATTGTTGTATGTTCTTTTTCAAAACGAAAGGGAAATATTCTGTGCGTGTATTATTAAAAAATATTTTGTTGGTACGGTATTAAATATTGACAACGATAGCGCAGCAATACAACAATATTCTTGATGCTTGAATAAGACATAACGATTCAGTTTAATTCGATTAAGTAAAAAAACCATGGCTTTTATGAGCATAAAAGATGCTTATTTTCTTGACGAATGCTGCATAAGTTAGAAAAACATAAACATTCACTGAAGTAGATATTAAGGAACTTTTTTAAACTCAATTAATCCGAATGAAGATCGGAAATCTGAAACGGACTTGCGCTAACTTGTTTGTCTTCATTCTTGGAAAAGTTTGTTTGTTCTCGACAACCGAATAGAATAATTCGGTATTCGTTTTGATAAATTAATATTTACATTAATAATATTGCGCTTTCAAACCAATTTGACGATCCAATCTTTTCATGAGTACAATTATATAATAGGAAAGTTACCTGTAGTAATTAAAAGGATTCACTGCACGACGCGTCAAACTGCCAAACATCATCAGTATAGTCCCAGGTGTTTCCGCTAGGTCCATTGTAAGTGACGGAGTTCTAAAGCAAAATCATTAAAATATAATACAATATAATAACAAGAGCCGTGATAGCTCAGTGTCCGAGCGCTCGCCTTTAATTCAATATACTCGAGCAACCTGAGTTCGATCCCCGGTGCCGGCACCAAAGAAGTTTTTAACTTTAAGTGCTGACTTATCACGTGCTCCGCGGTGAAGGAGAACATCGTGAGGAAACCTGCATATTTTCGAAATAATAACAAAAAAAATATATATTTCGAAGATATGTGAAGTCCGTTAATCCGCAGTGGGGCCGCGTGGTGGACTATGCCCTGATACCCTCTCTATAGAGGAGGCCTTCGCCCAGCAGTGGGACATGTATAGGCTGTTACTTTACTTTACTTTTACTATAATACAATCGAATTGAGAACCTCCTCCCTTATGATGTACGAATAAGTTCAAGTACTTGAACTTTTTGTTCATAATGTTTTTATTTTCAATCCTTCATCATGCAGAGTCGTCAGTTATTTATTTATTTAAAATAAATCACTAGACTACCTATATAATAGAACTGTTTTACATTAAAATAAAACATATAATAACTGTTAAAACTTTCGGCATATAATAACTGTTTTATTTTAATGTAAAACAGTTCTATTATTTGCCTACTGGAAACACACAGCGGTAATGTGAAGACCTGTTTGATATCTGCTGGTGATGTTATCAATAAACGCTATGTGAAAAAAAAAAAAAAAAATTTATAAATAAGAATACTCAGGATCATTATCAAGGAATTGATTGTAATTGATTTCAAAATCTTTTATTAAAGACTTAATTATTCTTCAAATTATGCTCAAATGTAACAGCAATGATCACTTAAATTTATTCTTAACAATAAAACAATAACAATAACAATATCTTTAACATGTCTGATAAATAATCAATAATTTTCCAAATAAACTCTCATTTAAGATAATAATAATATTAATAGAAAATATCAATCAATAATTAACAAGTAATTTTTACAGTCTTATTAATTTGTACTATTTTGATAATCATATACATAAAAAATTTGAATACAGCAAGTCTTCTCTATTGTTCTTGGGACCTTCCTTAATGACTTCCTTACAATAATACCTGCTGAAGGTTTTATTGCTTTTCCAATTTCCTCGCTTTAATATTTCTTCCACTGGTATATTTTCCAACCATCCTTTTGACGCCACTGCTGAACGAATACTGCCTGGACTGGCCTCTAAATTAATTTCTTTAAAAATTGACTTCACCCATCCAGCAATGATAGTCCTGGTGGCTGCTTTTACGGAACCCTTTAAGGTAATAAATAAGCTGGTTACATTGCACTGCAAACGCCTTTCTTGGGTGACGTCAGTAAGCAGTTGAATGTGCCTTATAGGACATATATTACTATTTGGGTGTTTCAATAATGCCCACCCTGATTGCCTATGAGTAGTGGAATCTGTTTTAGAACCAAACTTTGGCCACAGGGTTATTTTCCCACATTCTGTTATCATGTTGTTCTCTGAAATATCTAAGAGGGTGAGATCATGTAAGCGTCGTCCAGATGCTAAAAGTAAGATTATAGCAGTCCTTCTGGAAATGTCAAACATTGAATTAGTGCAAGGAACTGTATTTAACCAATCAAATAATATCTTTGTATCCCATATAGGACTTTTAACAGATTGAGGTTTGGATGTTGCAATAGCTTTAAGAATATGATGAATAAAAAAAGTTTTTAGATATATTTTCTAAGTTATTTGCACAATATGTGGATATTGCAGACTTATGCAACAAAATTGTACTATATGCATAGTCATATTTTAAATAAAGATGTGCTAAGAATCTAGCCACATCCATGGGATCTGGGTTCCTGTGATCCAGATTATTCATGCCACACCAATTAATCCATCTTTTTATTGGTGCTCTATAAGTATTGAGAGTAGATGTCCGCCAACTACTATTTAGTAAATTTATTTCTCCTTCACTCCAACTGCAGACCTTATCAGACCACCCCCAATCTTCCAAGCATGGAGTGACAGTTTGTCCACTTGTGGAGGGGGTCTCCCTGTTGATTGATCCACCAGATTCCTTCGGAGATTCTTTATTGGAATGGGTCTTGTTAGGGCTCTCGACTCTAGATCGCTCAGCCAAAAGCATTGTTCCCAATGTGGGGCTATTATTATGTATGTTCCTGATGCGCTGTTCAGATGAGATAGAACGCGAGGCATGAGGTTGGGAGGAGGAAATACCCATCCTAGCTGAAAATCCCATTCTCGGCTGAATGCGTCGCAAAAACTGGCTGAGCCATCTTTTGAGTTCCATGTGGCATACTGTGGAACAACTGCTGTTTCTTGGGATGCGAACAGGTCGATATCGGGCACGCCCCATGTTTCGAAAATGGGAAGTCTGGCTGGAACCAATAGGTGCCATTCGGGTACTTGTCTTCCCCTTGAGAGGCAGTCTGCTATACCGTTTAACCTCCCCGGGAGGTAGCCTGCCGACAGCGTCACATTGAGCTGATCGGCTAAGAGAAGGAGTTGGCTTGTCAATCCCAGAAGGGCCCTGGAGCGGGTGCCCCCTTCGTTCCTGATATACGCAATCAGAGTCCTGTTGTCGGACTGGACTAGTATGTGGGCATCCCTCACATATGCACTTTGTCGTTTCAAAGCTGCATATACTGCATACATTTCCTTTATGTTTGAGTGCCATTTCTTTTGCCTCTGATTCCACTTTCCGGACATGACAATGTTGTCCAATTGTGCTCCCCAGCCCGCATCCGCTGCGTCTGTGGTTAAAAAGTGGGCTACTTTCTTTTTGTGCATTGTCTTGGTGCTGTTGTCGATATGATTCAGCCACCAATGCAATTCCTGAATTACCAGGTGTGGTAAAGGTAGTTTTTCCCTTGGCCGGACCCTTCCAAAGGATCTCAGAAATATCTGAATCCTGCGACAATGCAGGCGACCATTGAGAGTTGTGATGTTTGCAAAATTCAGTGAGCCTAGTAGTTTTTCTGTGCATCTCGGAGACAAACTGTTTTTGTTGTTAATAGGAGAGATATAATCAATTTTATTTTTGCAATTTTGATTAAAGGTAATGACATCATATTTGTACTTGTGTTCCAGCTTATTCCTAAGTATTCTAGTTCCTGAGTCGGGTTTAGAATGGATTTTTTCAAATTTATGTGCCATCCCATTGTTTTTAATGTGTTTATAACCGTTACTGTCTGGTTTACCAAGGCAGACTTGCACTGGTTGGCTATTAAAAAGTCGTCTAGATAAACTAGCACTCTTATGCCTTGTCTCCTTAGGATTTCCGCAATCCAATTGGTAACCGAGGCAAACACGTGAGGCGCTGACGAAAGGCCAAAAGGAAGTGCTGTAAGCTGTAAAATTTCTTTTCCATATATTATCCGCAAAAAAACGCCTGTGGGACTTTCTGATGGACAAATGGAAATAAGCTTGTTGAAGGTCTATTTTGATCATCCAATCTTTGATTTGTAAGAATTGAATTACATCCATTTGAGAGATTAATTGAAAGTGGTTTGTTGCCACATGTAAATTGAGACTTTTCAAATTGAAAATGGGGCGAATACCCCCATCTGGTTTTTTTTATTAAAAACATCTGAGAATAAAAACCTGGACTCATCCCCGCTGGTTTTTCCAATATGCCCTTTTCTTTTAAATCTAGTACTACCTGTGTCATTTGATGTGATGTTTTTTGTAGAAAATTTTTTCAGAAAATTTTTGTATGGGTATTGCAAAGGGGGCTTGGATTTGAATGGAATACGGCCTTCTGATATAACTTTTATTATGAATTGGCTGGCACCCATTTGTTCCCATATGTGAACATAATCCTTCAAGCAACCGCCTTTGAATACCTGTTGATTGTCACTTTTGATTTCCATTTGCTGATGGACCATGGGATTGAAATTCTGAGTTACGAAAGGGCTTTCCTTTTTTTATGATTATATTTGTTCCTTCTATTTGGGTCACGCCTATCTTTTATATGGTTTTTATGAACTTTGTGGGATGTACCCTTTTTAACATTTAGGCCTGCTGTTATAGTTATTAGTAAACCCCCGTCTTTCCTTCATGTAGTCTGGTGTATTGAGCCACACATGTGTACCCCCTAATGACTCAACTAATGGTATTAGTCCTTGTCGGCTAAACAAATGCTCTGCACTAGGAGGTATATTTCTTAAAGCCTGTTTAAGGTTGACATTCCCTACTTCCTTTAATATACGTTCACGCCTATTTTCTATACACTCTGCTCTCTTGCCACATATGAGTTGCAGAGTTGTTTCCTTATTTTTGTATGAGGCAGAACCAGGACCAAAAACAACTAACATCTTTTCATATAATTTATTAGCATTCAATTCAGTCTTATTACTAGAGGCCCAATCTACCAACTCTTGTAGGCCCAACTTTAAAAGTTGCCTATCTTCTAGAACTTGGTTTGATAAGGCCGCTAGAACTTGCTCTGTTCCTTGAAGATAATCTTTTCCCTTATTGTAATGGCATAACTCATCATTTACCTTTAAACTAACAAAACCTGGCGAAGCAATACAAGTTTGCAAGGCTTTTTTTTGTAACGAATATTATGCCATGCAGGAGAATTAAATTGTTGCAAGGTATTAATTTCAGCTAGCCTTTCAGGATTGGCTATTGATACTAATCTATTTTCATCAATATTTAATTTAACTTCACCTAAGGATAAATGTTTATTTGTGTACGGTGAATCTGGTCTTTGTAAAAAGTTATCATTGGAAGTAGATGGCATGGTACTATTTAGATTATTATATGGTATATTTAGATTATTATTAGAATTTAATTCACTAAGTAACTGCGGCATCTGTGACATATAATCAGTTAAAAAAACTTACTTGATGTATGAGCGTGTCCATGCGCGGGTCCGAACACGTCACGACTTGCTTCGACCTGCTGCATTTTGACCGCTTGTTCGGTGGCGGTGAAGCAATGCCCTCCTCATCTCCCGAAGATGAGGAAGCACTACCCTGCGATGAGCTTGAGCTCAAGGCGCTCCGCTCTCCCTCCGGAGCAGCGACAGGCACCTCAGAATCGTCTTTAGGATCCATATCCAAATATTATACTAATATTTCGTAAACTACTGACACGCATATACCATACGTTATTAAATAACGACGTAATTATTAACAGAAGAGTTGGCCTATTATTACCAAGACTTAAATTATTTTAAACACTAACTATTAAAGTATTATATATTTTGCTCTTTTCGCGGCAAAATTCACAAACGCTATGAGACAAGCTGTCGGTTGCCGCCGCAGTATAGGCGTCAGCGCCCCCTGCTGGCATCAAGGAGGTAACAGTCATAGAAACCACAGATAACACAGGTATGTTTTATTGAAATATGCTCTAGGAAGGCAGATTCGCAAGCAGCTTCTTCACATTAACGCTGTGTGTTTCCAGTAGGCAAATAATTTATAATATTTTGTCTAGTCATCGTGGCAAGGCCACAAGCAGCAATTCATCGTATAAGCAGGCTCGTGCAGGTGGTGTTATATTTTTCCGTTTCACCTAGAGAAAGAGATAGTTGGGTTCTCTCGGAAAGGCTGGCAATACATCTGCGATCCCATAGGTGTGTAGATTTAATAAGTACTGCCATTGTATCACAATCGTAAAAAATCAGAAGTAATCCGAAAACGCAGAGCTCTTGTCGATAGTCCAATTTCCCAGAGCGCCCCACCACTGGCTTCTAGTACTCGTACTAAAAAACATTAAACTCGAAACAAACTATACGAGTCGTTATTAACGCCATTAACTGCCGCGCTCCACGCTACGCTGCTACGGGACCAACGAAAGCGTTCAAAGTGGCAACTCGTAAAACAGTTCGGCACTGCCTCGTAATCATCTCATGCCAGGCTGCAGTTTACAAACAGCACTTTATGTGAATTATTCCCGGTATGCTTGTACAGTGGCGCGAGGAAATGAGGCAATAAATTTCGGCGGGGCCGCCATGTTTTGCACGTGGTACGGGCTCGTGCATCACGGACGGACGAGAGACGCTAGAGTGTTGCATGCGTCGATTGCATGCGTGCCCTGATAGTGGTCGCGGCGCTATCGTGCTGTGCACGGTGGAGTTGCGTTTAGGAACGCTTTTAGGTACTTAGTACGCACGCAGTACTTACCTCATTTATGAAGCGCATATGAGTAAACGATACGTGAACAATTGAGTCGGACTCGCACACGGAGTGTACCGTACCATTTTCAACAAGAACAGTAAAAGAATCACGTCTCTTGTATGGGGGCACAACTTAAATTTCTTTGTTTTTTTTTAGTATTAGCTGTTATAGTGGTCTTCAATTGTCTAACTATGACAGTTCATGAGATACAGACGGATCAATTAGTCTTTCCTGTGATATGTTACTCATTGATATTTTTTTCAGTTCTGTTTTTACACAATTTTACAACACAAGATTACATTATCTTATTTTTATTATTTGATGCAAACAGCACCTTCATAGACGCCGTCGTGCCGCGTGATGGCGGGCGGTCGGCTTACTATGATGTAAATGTGTGCGTGATGTATGTACTCGTATGTACAAACGGTCCGTTTTAGTTACTATGCTTCACTTTCGATATGCGTGCCAAGGTATCCTGTTATTTTTTTAGTGACAGATACATACATAAAGAGCACAAACACGCACGCATGTCATCCATGTTGTCCATTCCACAATCTACGTATAAATGGACGTTTAAGGGAAGATTTTATACCGCAATGTTTCGGTGTAGACTGAATATGAAGTACATAGATATAAATGTACTTCGTGCATAACGCCTCGGTATGTCCAAGTAGATTCTCAAACGATGCTAATAATAATTATTCAATCGTTAGCGTTCGACCGGTTTGATTAGTTAATTGGACTTCATTGGACGGCTTATTCAGCGTTCATTTGACGGATTCTCTTACAGCTGTCCATTGGTTCGATTTGCGGTTCGATCAAATTTCATTATGAAAATGTAGGAAACGACCTCAAGATGAATAAAGGAGACGCTGGGTCTTTATCTTATATATTGAAAAACAAAATAGATATGATTAGAGTAAAACGATTGAACAAAGTTTGATTAATTGTCAGCCAGGCGGCCGGTCGTCACTACATAGTCAACAAAGTCGTCCCGCTGTCTGTCTGTCCCTATGTATGCCTTTTGCTTTCCCTATATTTTACCCTTTGGGTACGGAACCCTAAAAAGAGGCACTACGGAACACTTAAAGGACTACAAACATCTGAGATTGATGCTTACATATTGCTTATTTGCAATGGATCTTGTACATAATTATGTACTTATAGATGTAAACATTACTGAGTAGTTAATTACGCAGAATAATCCTCATAAACAAATCTTCTCTTACCAAAATCGCATTCATGCGCATCGTATTTCTAATGATTTTAGCAACGCTAATAATATTTTTAAAGAATACCATAAATAAATACAATTATTATAGAATAATTGTATTTATTTATAGTTAGGGTAGGTCGCAGAATCTGCTTTAATTTTGCACATGTTAAAGTCACTATTAATCCACGATGTTTGTTATCAAGACTACATAAAAGTCTTTTTGAGACTACATAATTTGGGGACAGATCAGCTCAGCACAGTCTAAAGTTCGGTTGTCAATATTTTACATATTGTTGTACTGGTACAAGTTATTAAGGCGATAAAAATAGGGTTTTCAAAAGATTTTTAGCACAATCCATACACTTTATAACAGAGACATTATAGAATGTCATATATCGGGGCACTTATTTGAGTGGTATTTATTTTAATAAGTAACGAAGTAGGTATATGACTTAAAATAAATGCTTGGGTTCTGGTATAAATAAATAATGCTATATTTTAATTTGATGAAATTTTACTTAAATTGGGTCATTATTATTACTTAATCACGCAATAAATAAAATGCATCATATCTTATTGAATATTTGAGTATCAAGTTGGGTTAACGTTTTACGTTGAATATCTGACTTAAAGATCCAACTTGTATAAAACTGTTATTAACAAAAGAATAGCAAACTGACAGAGAAAATAAGCATAAAACTTCTATTAAACTTCTATTATATTACTCTGAAAGGGGACTGTAACATTATTGTCTATGATTATTATTATATATTGGGTCGTTCATAGATATTACTTCTTCTTATTCTTGTCAACGCCCAACGTGCATATCATGTAAGTGATAAAATAAATAAAGTAAAACCGTAAAAAGTAGTAAAAAAATAAAGTAAATAAATAAAAACCGGATTTTTCTTCTCTTCCTTTCCATCGTTTAACCAACAGGCGGTTGATTAGCCCTAAAACTGAAATGGACGGATCCATCTACTGGATTCGAACCGAAGCCAGTCTAAATAAAGGTAAGTATACACCAAGCTACAGTGGCTCCAAATGTGATTTACGACATACTAAATCCAGTGCTTCGGGCGTCTATCGGTACTTATAGGATTCCACTTCTTGGTCCTTTTGCTCCCTTTTCGCGTCCGAATCCGGTCGGGGATTTCGCAGAAGAACGCAAATAAAACCGCTAATGACGTCGCCCGTTCTGTTTGTCGTTTTAGAAACAGTGTTGGGGTCAGGCGGCGTTTTGTCATAGTCAGCGGGGGAACGGCCAAAGGCGTTGCGATAAATACGCTAACAAATCTATACGTGTACGTGTTAACGTGTGTTTGTGTGTATGTTTGACTTAAATGTAAATTTTCACTGTGTCCACCATTTCTTTCTTGTTATCTTTTGGATCTTACACCAAGTGATAAGATGGCAATAGAATAATTTTACGTTTATATGGCTCTAGTTTATTTGTTACTCGTATACTAAAATTTAGTTATTTTGTAGAATAACAATTAAATTTCCGTGAAATTATCTGCATCAAAAATCAATATTTAAAAAAAATATAACAGTCAAATACTTGTGGAAACTCTTCAAAGCTATGCTTGCCCCCTTGTAAAGAGTTATAAACCCATACTTTAAATGTTCATACATATCACATATTCTCTAATACTTTAAGCAAATAAAAAAATGTTATAACTTATAGTTATGTAATAAATAAAAAGTAACTACGTAACTTAAAATTCTGTTACAATCTGTAATTTAGATTGTTCAGCTAAAATATTTATGCTTGTGTGTAAATAGATCAAATTACTTGGTAGGAAAGAGTTCACAAAAATGAATAATAATAGTAGTAAATTCACTTTATTCAATGTTTATTACGAATTTATCTGGGAAATAAATAAATAAATACGCAAATCTTATCCTTTAAACGAGCAATTCTTGTATATATATAATCGGAATCTGAGAAACGGCTCCAGCGATTTTCATGAAATTTAGTATGAGCGTAGATTCGGGTGCGAAAAATCGATCTGGCTAGGTTTCATTTTTAGAAAATGTCGTTTTATCCCAGTTTTCAGGGAATGAAAAATATCATTCGAATACGACGGTAAATTTCACCGAAAAAAAAATTTTATAATAGCTCGGTCGGTAATCGGGCGGCCCCGAAACAGAAGGCTGTGGTTCGTGTCACGATCATTTACACACTCTTTTTTTTATATTTTTTTCGATTCCAGACCATTGCTTACTTTATTTATCGATCCAGATGATTATTTTTTTCCCATTTTTTTAAAGTTGTTTCTTTTTTGAAAAACACCACTTCATATTTTCTTATTATTAGGTCGGTAAGATCGATAAATATTATGCATATTTCATTACTCAGTAATTTGTATCTAAATGTAATTTCCAAAATACACGATTTACCAGAAAAAAAAAAAAAACTAACCGAGCAAAGCTCGGTCCTCCAGGTACTAATACTTTAATAGGTGTAAAGCCAATGTCAGTAAAATTTGTTGATACGATATGTTTGTACAATATCCTTCAGTGCTTCAGAGAGGTCGTTGAACTTTCGTTCTAATATAAAGTAAATATTTACTCGAATAAATATTTCATGTAAGCATTTCTTTATTCAGTAAAGACTAAAAATTGTGTTGATAGTGTTTTATCTATGTACCTACATCTATAATCATCTCCTAACACTATTTAGTCTTAGGGGCTTCAATTTATACTTTTGCCACAA